AAGGCTCTTTCATCACACATTAAACTTTCACGTATCATTGGTTCTAATTCTGGGCGATCTTATATTCCACTAATCTGTGTGTCTGTTCTTATACTTGTAGGAATACTTCCCTTTAACTATTTTAATATTGTAATGTGTTTCAAACCAAGGCTAGCTGCTTATCCCACCTACACTTGGATTTTTTTTTCAATTTGTTTGTATATTGCCTCACCTGTTTATTTTGATGTGATCATCACAAATGAAAAAAAAAAAAAAGCTAATATATCTGAAATTCCACCAGCAAAAAAACAAAAAACAAAAAACAAAACTATGAAAAAAAGAGGCATAACTATAACTACCAGTCACAAATTCCCACTTGTAACTCTTGAGAAAACCAAATGAATCTAATAGAGGAAAGCACAGCTTCTAAGCACCTTGCATCTTCCTTTCCACCACCAATGTGTTGAAGATAGGAGTTTCGACAAATCTCTGAGAGGTCTTATTACCACTCCCCAACTTGAGAAAAGACAGACTCAAGCGGTAAGTAAGAAACCCAAAGAAATACTCATCAGAGTACAAGTGCCAGCTTCAAGATCTCAGTAGGCACAAGAACCACCAACTAACTCTCAGGAATCCAGAGGTAGTGCACCCTGAGAATAGGATGCACCCCACAGATGGATTCCATCTATTACTAGGTGATCAACATCATTTCAGAAGACAGAATAAAATCCAGGTTATTCAACAAGGGCAATATAGCCCTAGTGGATGATTTTTCTGTCTCAGTCTCAGAAGAGGAGATAGAAAACAAAACTTTAGCTCTGCTCTGTAACTCTCATGAATCAGGAGTGGATGTCATGGAGCATTCATCCTTACTTCAGTGAGAACTGAAACTTTGTAATGACCTTTCTGCATTCAACACAAGCAGCAAGGAGTCAGACAGTGTGCCACAAAAAGAGAAATAAATATCACATGCAAGGAAGAGCCAAGAACCCATCTGAAAGTAAAAAACAAACGAAGCAAAAAACACTTCCCATGATTACCAGTTCTATGGAAGGCCAATAAGTTAAGCAAGAGGGAACTCACAGATAAGAAGATAAGGCAACAGAATTTCCAGAACATAAAAGGAGAATGATAAAAGCCATTACCCCTATTTTGAACCCAATTTTAATAGAGATATATTTGGCTTTTCACTTTTGATTATAATGTATTTGTTTAGAATAAATTTTTCACTATAGGTTAAGGAAACAGTTTTTTGTAAGTTCACAACATGTTTTTTAATAGCCAGTGGTTGAACATTGACTCAATGTGTTTCAGCTGGAATAAACAAGTTATTTTGTAAGATCCTTTTTCCAAGCATTACAGTAACAAAGAACCTTAGTGGAGTCCTCAGAACTTGTCCACATGAATGATGAGTGAGACATTTCATCATATTTCCTGTTAACCAGACTTTCTGTCATATAGCGAATTCAATGACTCATTTTAGAAAGGCAAGTTTTTCAGCTAATAATATTTACAGGATCACTGCCATTAGGGATACAGATTGTACAAAGATCTTATCTCCCATGTTATCTTGAAATTAGAAAGAAGAAACAATCAGTGGGGTTAGGATTCATTCTATTAAGCATGAATTTTGGAGTCAGGCAATTCTGAGTATGAATTCTTGCTCTGCAGTTTACCAGTTATGGTTTCAAGCCAGTAAATCAGTTTCTCTAAACATAATTTTTCGTATCTGGTAATTGGGTCTATGATATTTAATTTATAGGGTATTATAAGGAAACAAAATATTGTAGTTTAGTCAGCCACTTCAAATGATCAAATGATAGTGTTATTGCTATTATTAAAAATAATAGAACTTCACTATAATCCAACTACCTTATACCTGGTATTTATCCCCCAAATATAAAAACATTAATTAGAAAAGATAGTCACATGCCTATGCATTATTTTTGATAGCAACACTGGGAAGCAGCCTAAATGCCCATCAGTGGGTGAGTGGTAGAGACAATATGGTCTATGTACAGAATGGAACTCTACTCAGTTTTTTTTTTTTAATATTTATTTATTTGTACAGAACTGGGGTACAGGCCAGAGATGCGGAGGGTGAGAGGATTCACCAGAGACAGAGTGGGGTACAGAGCAGGCAGATCGACGAGGTACACTGGTGAGGGGAGCAGCGGGCGGGTCAGGAGAGGTCTGGCTCGCCATGTGGTCACCTCCGGGGCAGGCGGGAATCGAACTCATGCGGAAGCGGCTTTAGATTCTCAGTGCTGTGCTTTAACCCGCTGCGCCACCAGGGAGGGCCCACTACTCAGTTTTTTTTTTAAAGATAAAATCTTTCCATTTGCAATAATGTGGGTGGAGCCTAAGGGTACTATACTCAGTGAAATCAGTGAGGGAAAGAAATATAAATACTTGATGATTTCATTCATATGTAGATGATAAAGAAATAGAACAAAAAAACCCACAAAAATAAACACTCAGAAAAAAACTAAAATGGTGGTTATTGCAAGGAAATGAAGAAGGGGTGTATCACAAGGTGGAGCATGGAAGCTAGAGTTTTGATGGTGACCATAATATAGCACGCACAGAAGGTGAATTCTAATGCTATACATCTGAACCCTGTATAATGCTATAAACCAGTGTTAGTTCAATTTAAAAAATAAAAATATAAAGACAGAGATTTTTAGATTAGAAAAATCAAGACCCAAATATATGCAGTCTAGGAACATACAACGTTCCTCTCAGGAGCAGATTTGTTCTCTCTTTCCACAAATAAATGACCCTGCCTGCTGCAGACAGCTTAGAGTACATGTGAAGATTCCATGCTAGGTAGGTATGGGACTGTGTGCATTGACAGACATTAGCCATTTGTTGAAATTTAAGAAAAAAATCAATAGTAATTTTCCATCATTACCTCTCTGAGAAACCCATGAAAACCCATGAAAACTCAAACATATTATTATTATACTTTGTTGTGGACTTTGTTTGAAAACTCAAATTCATCTTCCATTTTCCCGCTTCTGGTAACAGTGCCTAGATTTTCCTTTAGGGGAAATATGCTTTCCCCAGCTTAACTCATAAACAACTTAAGTGAATAAACTTATTCCATTCCCTAGGCTTCAATAATGGGTCAGAGATGGGTGTGCAGGCTAAGCCTGGGCCAGTGACATTCAGGGACTGACATGCTGGGGTTTCTGGGAGAGTGTACCTTCTCCTCATTGGGGACCACACGAAAGGTAGATCCTTTGTTCGAATGGTGGGATGTAAGGGTACAACACAGGCTACAGTGTTTTTGGTGTCCTAAGGAAGAGCCTAGAACCCTATATACTGTGTTCAGCCTGAGGGTTAAGTCACACTGTGAAGATAGGGTGGAAAGACAGACAGAAAGGAGGTTTTGTTTTGTTTCATCATTTGAATCTCTGGTCAAGTGTTATTTGAAGACACAACAGTTTTATGTTTTCTGTTATGGAAGGGAATACAATTTTTTGGCTTAAGTTAGAGACATGTTTTCTATCATTCACAACATACAATCTTGATTAACATAAGGTTTATCCCTTCATCCCTCCTGAAATTCCATTTTTCTCCAAACCTAAAAACTGGAGCCACGAGATACAAGTGCTTCTACTGTGCTAAACAGAGTTACACTTGTTGAAAATGATAATATGTAAGCATTTTAAAAGACAAATCATTGTATATAGAAATAATCATCACTTACTGCAATACACAAGTAAAAGAAAATCATTTGGAATTTTAAATTGCAAACAGAAAAATAGGTTTCCATTTCTATATTTTTGCAGAATGCTATTAACTCTGCATTTCATAAAATCTTTGAAAAGATGTTTAAGAAGATACTTGAAATTTAAGAAAAAAATCAATAGTAAATTTTCAGCATTACTTCTCTAAGAAAACATAGCATTAATACAGCTTGTTGTGGACAGGTGTTTTCAGACTCCGCCTCCATTGCCCTGTTTCTGCTAATATTGGGAACTGGGGGTGGAGGGAGAAATATATGATAATTAAAACTTGCATATATTTATAAAGTGTATAACTTGATGATTTTTATATAGGTAATATTGTGAAATAACCATCACAATCTAATTAATATAGCTACCACCTCAGTAGTTACCATTTTCTTCTTCCTTCCTTCCTTCCTTTCTTTCTTTCTCTTTCTCTCTTTTTTTCTTTCTCTTTTCCCCCTCTTTCAGTAGGTCAAGTTCTTCCCAGGTCCTGGTAATACGCAGGAAAGATGGCTTCCAAATTCCTTTGGCGCTTTGAACTGCAGGCTCAATCTGCCTCCCTGAGACAACTTCTTTAAGGGTTCTGGAAAGCAGTCCTCACTAGCCTAATGGACAAGATCTAGCTGTCCAAGGGAACAAGGATTGGGACTTAAAGTCAGGGTGGTCCTAAAATTAAATTGTCTTATCAATAAAGACTAGTGGTCTGGAGAGACTGAAACAAATTTCATTCTGGGTAGATATGAGACTCAAGAAGTTGGTCTTCTGGGGTTTTTATCAACACCTTGCAAGTGGACTTAGAGGTGAAGGAGGCATTGTCCATTCTGGGCAGTTGCCACTGGCTGGTGGGACAATGTCTCCCAGACCCAGACTCTCATTTAAGGTAAGAGATGGTGGGGCCCAGGGACACATTGTGCGACAAAGTTTTAATATTTCTGGCCAGGTGATTGTGAGGAACAGGGAGGAGTTCAGCATGTGGAGATGAAGTTGGATTTCTGGGAAGAGGGAACATGAGGGAAAGCAGAAGGGGAAAGTCCAGAGCAGAATAGAGTCTTAGTCCTCGAACCACCATCTTGGAGGGCATGTTGTCAGGGGAAGAGCTTGACTCATGAACAAGGTCAATACAGGTGAGCTGCTGAAAGAACACCCTCTACCAACACCCAAGGAGGCCACATACTTTGAAAAAATGGGGGAAAGATCCATTGCCCTGGGTTGGATTTTAATGGCCACTTAGTACCTGTGTGACCTCACACATTCACTTAAATCTCAGCCTCAGGACTCCAAGTGTAAAATGTGAAGAACGTCTTTCCTGTGTACCTCTCAGAATTAGAGTGGACATGAGGAAATATAGTGGGCACAGAATAGCTTTGTCAAACTCTTTATTGTAATGAATTATAATGTATGTGACACTCCCCAGTAAGTGTTACTATCCCTTAATTACCACTACATAGTAGATTCTCAAGGCCAGGGAACTTGTCTTTTTCAGGCGTAGTAACAAGTATATGAGTGTTTTAAAAAAGGTACTTGATGACTGAACAGAGTAAGTAAGTGAATGATGTTAGAGCCCTTCAATTAAATCAGTCTCCTAACTACACTGAAAACTGTAGACCATTATGATTGATTCTGGGCTGTTTGGTGTGGTGGAGGCTGTGAGTTAGTGGCGATCAGTTGGTGTCATGGTACAGAAGGAAGCCTGTGAAGGTGGAGTCGTTGACGTTATCTGCGTAGAGCCCGTTATGTTCTTCATTCCCATACACCTGGAGCCACACCTCATCACCTGTCTCCAGATGGAGGAGCACAGAGCCGGAAGCTTGATCCACATCTTTTTCCTGGTACTGGTCATAGGTGAAAAGAATAGCCTTGTCCTTCTTGTAGAGGCTGACCTTTATGTCCTTCAGGTAGACGGTGATGTGGTAGGAGAAGTAGTATAACCCGGGAATGTTGCAGTGGAATTTACCAGTGGTGCTATCATAGTGGTTTTGTTGATTGTAGAAAATCTTGGTAAAGCGAATGGGAACATTGGGGACAGTGTCATGATTACTCAATCCCACGCTGAATGCTGAGCGGTATACATAGGCACTTTCTCCAGGTTCTCCTTTCCTGCCTGGGACTCCTGGAAAGCCTCGGGGACCTTCAACACCAGTCACTCCACCATCACCAGTGTCACCCTTGGGCCCAACAAGACCTAGAAAATGAGAAGACATACCTCAGTGACCATAAGAAACAGGTTGGCTCAAGTCCATAACATTATCTCTGTGGCCCCTACCCACAATCTGCTTGACTTAAAGAGCAAGGAAACAAGTGTTGGGGGTGGGAGTGAGGGGAGCTCCCTAGTGGCCTCAAGGTTAAGTCTCAAAACTATCACTGCTATTCAATCCCCAGCCAGGGAGTGACTACATTGTGAGGTGGACCTCTCCTGTCCCACCTACTGCTCCCCTCTACAGTGTATTTCAGCAAAATCCACCTGTTCTTGTTCCCACTCTGCGGTGAATCCTCTCACCCCCTTAATGTTGGCTTACACATAGACATTGCAAGAGATTAAAAAAAAAAAGTTAAAAATGGAATTCCCCAAAGGAATAACTATCACATTCTCCTTCCACATCCTCCAAAGGGTGACTCATCCGACTCCATTAATTCAGCTCTAATCTTACATAGGTTCCCATCATAGACCCTTCCCGCTGCCAACCCTTTATGTGCTGGCTCACCCAACCAAGCGTTGGCTCCAAACCAATACTTTTGCTCTTCTATGCCCTCTGTCTAGCATGTCCACATTTCTTTATTTTGTCTACCCACATTTCACGGCTAAGTTCAAGTCCTGAATCATCCTAAAAGGCCCTATTGTTAGTACAGATCCGCAGTGAGTGCATTTTCTTTCTGTTCCATACTCTGGGCATTTGTTCACATTCAGTTTGGCATATTTGGAATATTTGGAACCCTTGCAGCAAAGGGTTCTATACAGAGTACAAGTGTTCTCTAAAAGTAGACCTGTGACCTGCGAGAGGTAGTGCTTGTATGCCACTTAATGGGGAGTTGGAATGTGAACAGATTGGGAATAGGAATGGAAAAGAGTATGGGATGTGTGTGTATATATACATTACAGTCAAAATCCTTGAGTTTACAAGTACCACCTTTTCTCAGCACTAGAAAACCAACTCAAATCCATGTTAGGTTGCATATGGGCCACATTTATAAAGCTTAGTTAATAACTAATGTCTTAATTAGTAATTTATGTCCTCAGATAGTTCTAGAAACTCTCCTTTACATAGAGAAGTATTGATGGAAGAAGCAAAAAATCAAGTCCTCACCTGTATCTCCTTTCTCACCCTTCTCACCAGGGGTTCCATCTCTGCCATCGCGGCCTGGGACCCCATTGTGGCCAGGGTGCCCTGGGATGCCCGCCATCCAACCTGGGCAGGACCCTTTGGGTGGGGGTTGGAGGACGTCAGTGTCTTCAGCCTTGGTATTCTGGCCATAGCTGGACTGGGCAAGTAGCAGCAGAATAGCCTGCAGCAACAGCATCCTGTGTCCTGGAATCCTGCACTGTTAGACTTGAAAGAACAGACCCCCCACAGCTCACCCAATCTGGATCCCAGCAAGACTCCCCACCTCAGGAGAGGCCATTTCTCAGACTGTTCTCTTAATGATCACCTCTTCCAGGGTGACTTCTGTGATCATGACAGCCCGCTTTGTTTCCCTTCTGACCCCACATTTGCATATTTAGCATGAACCCACGTGTGCCTCACCAAGATTGTGAGTTCAAAGATGGCAGACCACTATCCATCCAATTTCCTCATGGCTAAGCACAGCACCAAGCACAGAAAAAGCTCCATGGATCCACTGGTCAAGAGCCTCTCACTTGAGTTTCCCAAGGCTGATTACTTCAGGTCATTCCATTCAATTCTAACCAACTTCTCTCTCTTCCCAGCTCCTACCTTTTCCTCTCTAGTTCTTTCTCTCATTTTTTTAATGTCTGTTTCACCTTTCTCTCCCATTGCCTTCCTTTTGCCCTCTCCTCAGTCACACATTTGAACATTTGTATCTCTTCACACATAGACCTGCCTTGAGTTAGTGAACGAGTAGAGACACAGTGACCGTCTCATGAGCATATCCACTTACCCTTTGTGTGGGTCACGCTCACCTGTACTTCCTCACTGCCCTAACCCTAGACAGCTTTCAGAAAACAGCTCAGATGTCATTCTTTCAGGAACTCCTTCTTGTTCCCTCACTGCAGTCTGGGCTGGTTGTTCCACTTCCCCCATTAAACTACTAACAAGGGGGTGAGGGTGGGGGGCTGCTGGTACAAGCCTAATAAACTAGCAGCACAGTCTAGGAAATAAATAAATATTTTTATAATGAAAAAAAGAAAGAGCAGGAAGTTCAGAGGGAGGAAAGAGAAGAGGAAGAGAGGAAAAGGAAAGACAGGAAGAGGGTAAGTACGAGGGAGGAGAGAGTGCACCCATAATAGGCACCCTGGGAAGTCTAGCAAAAAGTTCCAGTGGGTTTAGGTAACCAAGGAACTTTTTATCTCTGAATTCTCATGGTCATCCCACTATAACAAAAATGCTCCTTTACATTCATAAGACTCTGATCCCCTGCCCGATTCTGTTTTGATATTGGGGTGATGATAGGGCCCCCACATGCTTGCCAGAGTCTTAAACCTCCCCATTCCTCTCTCACCAAGGAGTTGAGATAAAACACCACAGAGAAGAAAATAGGTCCTAAGATCCTGGATCGCTAGGCATCACCAAGACCTCTGTGGAGTTGGAAAGGTGGTTAATTCCAAGAATCTGCTACAAAACAAAACAATATGTTTAGATTTTTACTCTAAAGTCTAGCTAACTTAGTTAACTTGACTCTTATACATGACACAAAATCTCCAGAAGTAAATATGACTTCAAGAGACACCTCTGTAAGGAATACAAAAAAATGTAAATGGCAATCTTATCCTCAAAGATGTGGTGGTGTCTAGAATCTTACTCTATGTCCAGTTACCCAGGACTCAATAATGCCTAATGCATATGCATACACACACATATACATATATATATATAAATGCATATATTTTAAAATGCATAACGTATGATGATAATATTAAAAACAATCTCACATATACTGATCTTTCATATATACACACATATACATATGTGTGATCATTATAAACAGTAATATAAATAAATTTGGAAAGTACAGAAAGCAAAAAAAAAGGTGGTCCAATCTTTAGCCTTTCTCTGTTTATTTTTGAACATAGTAGAAATCATACTTTACATAGAAATTTTATTCCCCTATGTTTAAAATGCTACTTTCTGATTTTTATACATTTTAACGTCATCTTTCTATATGCATATGCCAGCCCATAAAATGGATATAGTCAGAATACACTTAACAATTTCTACTTTGTTGAACTTTTAGCTTATTTCCATTTAATTTTTTTTGTAAGATATACCTTAGACATATAGCTTATCTTAAAATAATTATTCTGTGGTGATATAGATCCAGAAGTAAAATCACTAGGCCGAAAGGTATGAACTTTTTTTTAAGATTTACTTACCTATGCATACAGAATAGGGCACAGGCCAGAGGTGCAGGGGCAGTGAGAAGATTCACCAGAGTCAGAGTGAGGAGCAGAACAGGCAGATCTGCTGAGGGGAGCAGTGAGTGAGACAGCAGAGGGCTGCTGCGCCATGTGGGTCACCTCCAGTGCCAGGGATCAAATTCACACTGAAGCAGCTGCAGCTAGCTTGCGCGCTTTTAAAACCCGTTGTGCCACCAGGGAGGGTCTGGTATGAACCAGGCTTTTTTTAAGGCTTTGATGCCTATTACCAAACTGTGGTTTACTATACTGTTATCTATCAGTACATTAGTGTATCTTAATTATACTCACCAAATTTAGATGTAAGCATCAAAACCCTTTTGGTTTGTTTATTGAACAAGACAAAAATTCCCCAGTACTTTGCTCATTAGTAAATTGTACATTTTACTAAAGGCCTATTTCCTAACTTAATTTTTTCATTCATGATGCTTCTAGTAATGTTCTTTATGATTTATTATAAACACATTTTGCTTTTTGAATCAATTTGCATGAGTTCTTTATACCAACACTGACATGTATGCTACGACTATTCTCTCTAATCTAGAAGTTATTCTTCTGTTCAATCTTGTTTTTTAAGTCACAAAAATTTTATTTTTATCCAATTAATTATTTATATTTTTCTTGGCTTCTAAGTTTATCCATGATAAAGCCTGGTAAATATCCTCTCTGTTTTCTTTTATTGATTGATAAATTTTAAATTCTACTCTTAAATCTATCTCTGATATTTTGTTTTCGGGAAAATTGTGATCTATGTTGCTCAAAATGATTTCTCCCCACTTGAAGTCTTGCTGTTTAAAGACACCGTTAGTGGAATTAATCTCGACCCTCTCTATTGATCTGCTGTATCTTTTATCAAATACCAAGTTCTAGTATCATCTTGTAAGTGAGTGTTAGACCAAAAAAGAGCAGAGAGAGGTAGAGGCAGAGAGACAGAGAGGAGAGACAGTGGCAACACAGCAACAGCGACAGGTGCTGGTGGGGACAATGCTCCCTATTGGGTTCTCAGGAGTGTCTGGGCAAGACTCATTCTTACCATCTGTGCATGCCTTTGTCGCCCTCTACTGGATTTGGAGGACTCAAGAAGGTGTTCTCAGTAACTTCAGTTTAGACTTTGCTTGTTTCTCAACATTAAAAAAAGCTGAATAGATGAGAAATCAAGGATGAGAGCAGAAAAGCTCATTTTGTATTCCAGAAGACTTGTTCTGAGATTTTTAAGAACTCATATATTTTTGAACATTCCCACTATTTGTCACCTCCACCTTTTCTCCTTGTGGGGTTAATGATAAAATTCCTAAGGAGAACTCTGAGAGACATCTTAGTCGTTTTCCCCAAAAAAGGGGGGAAGAATGCATGTCGTTGGGCTCTTTTCCACAACAAGATGGACAGAGAGCATTCAGAACATAAGAATTGATGGAGGCAGCTATGGAAGACCCCAAAGATAAATGGTGATCAGAAACTTACTCCTCTCAGCTAGAAAGAGTACAAGATCACAGGTCTCTAAAGTGTTCTGGTTCCTCTTTCGCTTTAAAAATCAAAATTTCATTCCCCCAGCTCAAAAGGTAGCTCTCTCCCTCCTTAATACTTCAGTGTTATGGGCAGACTTAAATAACAAGTAACCAGTCTGGGTTCCATGACAGTCACATGGGTGGAGACACAGAAACGAGGAGTGTATAAATTCCTGGGGCATTTCTGAGTCTGAGAACAGACTAATATTGAAGAAGAAGGTTGTCTTCTAACCCATTTGTGGATGGGTTACAATTGAACATTTATGCAATTGAAGATCTATACATAAGTGCCTAATTTAAAAATTTGTATTCCAAAATTTATATGTGTTCTTTTTCCCTACGTGTAGCGATCGTTACACTTTGATTCTGAAAGTCTATTTCTATAGGGGCAAATGAAATTACTTAAGACCATAATCTAAGATACAATTATGCCTATAAAAATCTTTAACATAAATAGTGAAACTGAATCTCAAGGCCTTCTTGTAATTCTTTATAAATGTATTTTGCTAACTCATTTAATATCTTTACTAATTCTCACAGCCATTTTTGAGAATTACAGTTTCTATGACCTCAATACTTGGGTAAACATTTGCTCTTATTTGCAAGATGT